TAAGAAAATAAGTAACAAATAACATATTACATATAAGCTACGAAGTTTTTGCCTAGACATCTCCTACAACATGGGTCAAGTCCTAAAAGGGGACAAAGCCAGGGCTCAAGCTGTGTCTCCCTTAATTCAGCTTCTTGGTAGCCTCTGGCTGTGTTGATGTGGCCTCCTGGTCACTTAATGCCAAGTAAGACACCACTTATGGGAGGTCAGTAGTGAGGCACTACTATACCATAATGAGATATCAAGAGAATAGAGTTAAAGCCCAACTTAGTTCCTTTGTGAAACCTTCCTTTGTTAATTACCTTTTTCTCATTGACCTCATATAAAATTCAATTTTTTGTATTAGTTAATTAGTTAGTCAGTGAGCTTTTCAGAATTGTTGGATGCCAGATACCAGAAGACTACACAAGTCACTATATGTTATCCAGATGAACAGATGAACATTTCCATAGGAAGACAAGTGAGGCTATGTCCATGAAAACTAAATGCTTCAATATATTTGTTACATATCTTTTTTATGTTAGGATTAAGTAAACTTCATTTTATTATCTGTTCAATGACCAATGAATGTCTCACTTTATACCAACATCAAACCTAAACTAATAGGATTCTGAACCTGCTCACCTCTGAAGACACCAAATATGAAAAGAAGATTAAATAAGGCTAAACGCAGGAGTGCACAGAATTCCTTTGGAGTTAAAGCTTGAACTCAAGGATACTCATTATCCACTCCATCTCAAATCTACATGTCCTTCATTTTGCCACTTGGATGAAGAGGCCTAATCTAACCAAAATATATGAAGTGCTATCAAACAAAATACGGAAAGAGCTAAGGAGGAAAAGGACCATAGATACAAAAATATTTATAACAATTCTCTTTGTGGTGGCAAAGAATTGGAAACTGAGGAGATACCCATCAACTGGGGAATGGCTGAACAAGTTCTGGCATATGATTTGGCATATGGAATACTACTGGACTATAAGAAATGACGAAGTAGATGACTACAGAAAAAGCTGGGAAGACATATATAAACCGATGCAAAATGAAGTGAACAGAACTATGTGAATACTGTACACAGTAACAGCAATATTGTAAGGATGATCAACTATGAAAGGCTTAGCTACTGTGATCAAGACAATTCCAAAGGACCCATGATAAAAAATGCTGTCCACCTCCAGAGAGAGAACTGATGAACTCTGAGTGCAGATCAAAGCATGTTTTCTTTCACTTTCTTTTTTTCTTGCTTTTTTTTCTTTTGCAAGGCTAATGTGGAAATGTTTTGCATGACTTCATATGTTTTTGGTTTTTCTTAAAGAGTTAAATAAAGGTGTCCAACAGGATTACTGGGTAAATGATTTTTAGGAAAACAGAAACTGTACATGATAAAAAAGCATAGAAGGGCCACAATCTCCACCAGGGGAGGTAGTTTCCATTCTAAAGAGATCAGAGACCTAAGGAAACATCAAACACAAACACACACACACACACAACCACCACAACAACAACTAAGATGTACAAAGGGCACCGGTGTGGGTAAAATACTCATCACTCAGTACACTAGGTTTTATAGAAATGCTTTATTTTAGATTACCTATAAATATTTCCATAGAAGGCAATACTGTGAACTATTCTTATAATTAAGCTTAATGGTGCAATAAATCCTTACAGTTTTGATCCATGCTATTTTGCTTATAAACTACACAACCATCTAGTCATTTCATTTGGTACCATGAGAACATAAGCTGGTCAAAAATAATGCTCATAATGAGTGAAACACATATTAGTACTCCCAGATACTACTCCCTGGAGCAGATTCTGAAATTATATACCATTAATGAAGAAAAGTCACATAAAATTTAGGACAGTACATTTCCTAGTGGTGCCTAAGATAACTAACAAAAAAAAAAAATCTTAACATGCTGCACAGGAGATTCACAAATGCAAGCCCTGGTATTCCTCATTAGTTACTAATGAAACAAAATTAACTTCATATAAATTTAATTCCTATGATAACAGTTTAAATACAAATTAAATACAAATAGACAAAAGTCTAAATACAAATCTATGTGATTCAAGATTCTAGAATTTCTCTTTTTTAAAAAACTAGGGCTTCTCATTCTAAGCAAACATCAAGGTATTGCTATAGTTCAAATAAATGAAATAATCTCAAATTCACTAAATCTACCACATGAATATTTTACTATTTCTTTGGATTTTAAGTCCAGTTTGTCATGTACTTACTTCTATTGTATGACAGTTCAGCAGAATGCAGTCTGCAATAATTTAAAGTGAAATGTTAATTACTGTATATAGGATGGTAAAATATCACTTTAAGGACAATTGAGGTTTTTTAAAATTAAATCAATTAAAATTTTAAAAACTTTAAAATGAAAAAAAAATTTTAATATTAGGTAGCCAATAATATAAAGTCTATTTTTGAAAGCTTTGAGCAATTATCATTTTAATATGGTAGCACTTGCCAATCACAATTTACACTGTAGATCCCATCACCCTTATTTCTGTAATACAGTAGAGCCAAAAAATTCCAATATAATAAAGTACTTGTCAGAATATCCACTATAACCTAAGTGGCTTAATGTCTAATTATAGAAATAAAAATGTCATTACCATTTAAAAAAAAGGTTTCATAAGTATTAGAATAAAGAAAAAAGTGGAGATAATGCAAAATACCTAGCCTTCCTCTTTCTTTTAGAACCACAAACAGA